AGGAATGATACCAATCCCAGGGCACCACCAGAGCATCCATGGCATCCACTACGGAATCCCTTGCACTAGCCACAAACCTTGGTACCATCCTGTCACTGTGAAACTCAGAAAACCAATTTCTAGGTTCTCCCAGCCCCCGCATAGGCAGAACTGACAGATCACATCCAGGTAGAACTGATCCGATCATCGAGTTTAATTATTGATGGCATGGCAGGGAAGGCTACTATGTAAAGTTCTTCCCACCGAAAAATGCGGGAGGCCTCCAGCACTACTGTCACACTTCTAGAGCCATCCTGGAGATAGAAAAAGCCCACCTTGGTAGCACTGTGAATGGATTCAGACCGGAATCCCCGGAGAAAGTCCATCCAATGGCCCTGGGTTGATCTCGACTCCGTGACCCCATCCCATTCAGACAGGCTAGCATCAAGTGTTAACAATTACTTTTTTAGATGTCTGGTCAGTAGACCAACACCTACACTAAAGTACATACAGAAGCACCACTGCAGAGATGGAGAGCCTGGAGTGCAACAGAGCTGCAACCAAGAATGTGTCACACGTACTTAAGGCCCCAGAGCAAACTGATCTGGCAGATTCACGTATACCGGGAGCACCCATCTCGCACCTAGAAATTGTCGTAGGAGCTTAGCCCACTCAGAAAAACGTCAAAAACCAGGCCTAGGGCCAACACAGACAGCAATGCCAAACAGACAGTGGTAAACATAGTGTAGATGACAGTCACCAAACTATTAACGGATAAATCGTTGGATTCTCCAGATTCCTAAAGATATATCAAGGAGTGCAACAGAAAGTAGCCGACACAGGCCTCCGCCTAGCATCAAACTGCAATACCTGCTCCATTCACACTAGGCCGTTTTTCAGCTTGAAGCCTGATGCTCAGAAATGCTCAACAAGGAAAATCCAATTCATTTATATGGCCCTTGTTCACATATGAGTGCTTAGTTGCCTATAGCAAGATGCCTGTCGCTCAAAAACGTACTACTACTTTTCAGGCAGATCTGAGCATTTTTGTCCCCATAGACTTAAATAGAAGACACCTGAACAGTGGAAATGAGCATTTTTTTCAAGTGTTTTTTTTCAGGCGGTTTCAGCTGAAACAGCAGCTATTTCTATTAATCACAGCAAAAATGCCTAAATGAAAAATGCCTGAAAAAAACACCTATATTTGCAAATCTGCTCATAAAACGCTCAAAGATGCCTGAAAAATGCTCAGCTCAGTGTGAATGGAGTCTCAGGTCACGCAAGGGGGATTGAAGCCCACTGAGGAAAAACCACACCACAGACAATGTAGGAGAAAATATCCCCAATTCTCCAGAAGCATGTAGCCTTCCACAAAATACAACTCCAGGGTCATGTAGGCAAAGTGCATGGCCAGGACAACTCAGGAGCCACCACCAATCATATGAAAGCCCACCTGGAATTACCTTCCTACAGGGCACACAGAGCTGAAGTACACCTGAAAGCCAGGGAGAGTAAGCAGTGCAGCGCAACCTCCCCATAGCTGCCAGGAGGCCGATCTGTGCAGTAGGTCCAGGGAGTGGCCTCCCGCCCCAGCTCCACCCAGTCAGGAGCTGGGCACCAAACTAGACCGTCCACAGCTGTAATTAAACAGCCCGACCGCGTGGGATGCATGCCCATGGGAGGGCCCAGGAAAAGAACCCAAGGGCCAAGGCGGGGAGACTGCACTAGGACTATATACCACCAGGAAAGTGAACTGCCACAGAGCATCCTACTTCCAGCAGCACTGTGTCGCCATCAGCACCCTGGCACAAAGCTACTGCAATCAGCACTTGGCACACAGTATGTGTGGGAAAAAAGGTGAATAGGCCACCCCAAACCCACTCCCATGGGTGCAGGGGAGAGGGGGAATGTCACTGATGCCACCTATGGAAGCAGGTGCACCTTCTCCAACAGGGTGCCACACAGTCAAAGGTCTCTCCGCTAGTGGGAGGAAAGATAGACCTGAGGCCTGGATGGGGTATCTACTTGCTGATCCCATGGAGTGTTCGGATAATGCTCTCATTAAAGTACCTCTTCTCCACTGAAGTAGGGGGGTGTCAGCCAGGGTAACATGGTGAAATAGACTAAAGGTGCCCGGTCATATGTGTTTAGATGTTTAACTCACTGCCCATTCTGGTCCAGGATGAGGCTTGTTGTGGCAGAACCAACGCAGAGCTAAGTCTGTGTGCACTTTTTTGCCAGACTGGGATGTCCACTGGATCTAGATCATCCAGTCCTTTGCCCAACCCGGCTGGTAATTTAAGATCTCTTCAGGAAAAATCCCAGAAAAAGAAAGAAAGAAAAGCTATTGAGCCACAGGTCCCAGCAGGGAACTAGGTCCTTACTCCTTAGACACTAGGCAGAAATAACTGGCTTGCCTATAGCAGAGAGGGGGATTTGTACCAGCTAGAATTTCCTATAGATGGTGCTGTGTTTCTTTCCTGCCAAGTGTCCTACTCCTGTAGGTGGCGCTATAACCCTATGGTCAAGAATAGAAGAGTTGTGTCCATCAATGAACATAAGAGAAATTCTGTTTTAGTCAGGCAGGTCACGTTGCACATCTGTGAGGAAGCCCAAATGAGGGGGTTGTAGCAGTGTTGGTGTAAGACAGTGGTCGGCAAGCCGCGGCTCGCGAGCCACATGCGGCTCTTTACACACTTTAATGCGGCTCTTCTGTGTGCCGGGCACCCGCTCCCCTCCCTCCTCTCGGGCGGCCGCCCCAAAAGTCAGGACTCTGCAGCTAGCCCAGCAATGGGCAAACTAAGGCCCGGCGGACCTTTTAATCCGGACCGCGGAGCGTGGCAAAACATTGGCTGTCAGGATGTAGGCGGGGCAGCGTGACGAACTCCTCTCCTCTCACAGTCCGCCCTGAAGACCGGAACGGCGCGGGAACACGGCGAGAGGGACGCGCGGAGCAAAGGTAAGTGAATTGACACAATATGGGGATGAATTACTATAGGGGGGATGAATTACTATGGGGGGGGATGAATTACTATGGGGGGGATTAATTACTAGGGGGGATGAATTACTATAGGGGGGGATTAATTACTATGATGAATTACTATAGGGGGGATGAATTACTATAGGGGGGATGAATTACTATATGGGGGATGAATTACTATATGGGGGATGAATTACTATATGGGGGATGTATTTTCAGTTTTAAAAAATGTGGCTCTCAAAATAAATTTCAATCGTGGTTTTGGCGAGATTTGGCTCAGTTGAAAAAAAAGGTTGCCCACCACTGGTGTAAGACCTTGCTCTAAAATATGGGAACCGCTGAGAGTACCTGGAGTTTCCTTAGGGCCTGCAGTGGAATTCTTGCCATTTGTTTCTCCCACGTGTCTAATTTGCCACTACTAAGTGATGCTCTTCCCCTGACGGGCACTCATGGAATGGATGAGGGCTTTCAGTGTGTCTAGTAGGAAGGAAACACAACAAAGGAGGCATTTACCAATATCCCGTGGATGTGTCTCTGGAGCATCAGGCAACAGGTGAAACCGCAAACAACAGCTGTGTCATCTGCAAAAATGGCAGCTAGAAGTGTGCAATTTGGAGTCTTATGAGCACTACAACACGAACCGGAGAGGACTTTTACCATTGAGGTGGAAGAAATGATTGCCAATTTTTTAACAGGCAAATGTTATATAAACGGTGTAGTACACGAGAAAATAATAATCAGGGTAAAAAAAAAAAAAAAATCAACTGTAGAATACCCCCTAATTTGTGCTCTTCAAACCGCTTGTGTGCCTAGCACAGCAGTGTGTCTTGTAGGATAAAAAGATATAGTATATTATCTACAACATATCCTTTTATTAATCCAAGTTATGTGTATCCAGGAACAGGTACAGGGATGTAAGGGTACTACAGGGAAGCCCGTCTTACCTTGTCCTCATCACTGGTCCTGTTCAAGATCCAGGCTTTGCTTGTCATGGTGGGCATACCCTCGAAGGAATCTTTAGGGTCTACGTGCCATTGGAATGGACCATGGCTCTGAAACTGTATAGCACCCTCTGGCTAACATAATCATTGCATCATGTTACAAGGTGAGCTCTGAACTTGGGATTTAGTACCCAACACAAATATTACAGGCCTACCCCGTCTCTAGAGGTCTGGTTCCCAAGATGTATGAGGGTAATTCAGAGCCTGCTAGTCAGCTATAAGCTGTCAAATCTTGATAAAAGTGACCAAGTAACCAATCTTGGGACTGCTGGTGAGCTATAAGGTAAAGAGTAGTCAGATCTTGATGGAAGTGTCAGTCGAAGAAGGAATAAGTAGGGAAAAAAAAAAAAAAAAAAAAAAAAAAAAAAAAAAAACAGCTTCACAGAGTAGGCAGGGTTATACTGGGGGGAGGAGTGTGTGGATCCCAGCAAAGCTTTTGCCGGAGTCCAATCAACTGAATGTAGCAACACATAACCCGTAGAGAAAAAAAAATCAACTCTTAGATTGTAAGCTCCAAGGAGCAGGGCCCTCCTAACCCTCTTGTATTGAACTGTATATAAATCCTGTATAATAATAACTGTATTGTTTCTGTATTGTCTCCTGTTATATTGTAAAGAGCTGAGCAAACTGTTGGCGCTATATAAATCCTGTATAATAATAACTCCTGTGCCCTGTTCTGTACAATGAAGACATCTACTTTGTACTATTCAAATTTTAACTTGTTCATTGATGCGGCCTGGAAGGTGTACATGAAATCACTCGAAAACAGCATCATTGAAGGAGGAAAACTGAGGACATACTGTGAATACAGGGCATCATGGCCCACGCCCTGAGAGGGCATCATTACAAAAGCCCTGTACCCATAGTGTAATGATACAGAGCAGAAATGCAGATATCACCACTCTGCATTGGGAATCATCTACCAACAATTAAGCATTGTGTATTTCCAAAATTGTTTAATAACAAATATGATCAATCTGACATGTATGTACAAGAATGAATGGCAGTTAGAAAAAAAGAGCAATTGGTAAAATTTGGTGTCAGGAAGTGCTCTCATCAATGTCTTTATCAGGATCTTGTTCCTCTTCCTCTTCATCATCATCATCATCTTTCTGCTGTTTCTTCCAGAGCTTGGCCATGGCAAGAAGTTTAAGATTGGGCTGATTGGCAGCATCCTCAGGAAAGATGTAGTCATAGTATTCCTCCCAACCAGCATCTGACTAGAAAGGGGAAGAGAACAAGAATGTGCTATTAGGACCAGTTACTTTTCTAACCATAAACCCCAGTGGGGAACCTAGAGTTGTGTTTTTTTTTTTTTTTTTTTTTTTTTTTAATTCCATGCAGGGTACATCAACAGGGTCACTTCAAAAGCTTGCTCATGCAGCGGCTTGTAGTCCGGAACAAAGAAGAACCAGTGTCTTGCGAAAGTATTCAATGCCCCCACCCCCACACATACTTTTTTTTTTTTTTTTGCATTACAACCTGAAAATTTAAAAAATTGTGACAAAAAAAACAAAACATAAATCTTAAGTGTGCACCTCATTTGGTATGAAACCCCTAAATAAGATGTGGTCAGACCAATTAAAGTAGAATTCCAGTCAAAATCTAACTAAGCATAATCCTGCTCCCACTAAAATTCTAAGCCTATTCTCACTACCCTGTAAAAGAAAAGATGCCTATACTTACCTATTCTGAAATCACTTCGGTCTGGTCACATGATCAGGTCCCAGCACTGGCTTCAATGTAGAGGAGGGACAGCAGTCAACAGCTGCCCTATAGCAAGCTTATGGGTGATGTTATCACCCAGGCTCTGCAGCCATTGTCCCTGCTCTCTCATCTACACTGAAGCCCCTGCTGGAGAGATCATGTGACCAGACCAAAGCCAATGGGAGTAGATTTAAGCTTCGTTAGGCTTTGACTGGAATTACACTTTAACTTCAAAAGTCTCATACCTAGATGATCACATAAGGCCTGTGTGTGCAATCAAAGTGTCACATGATCTGTCAAGTTGTCAGTATAAATACAATACACCTGTTCTGAAAAGTCTGAGCCTCCAACACTACTAATCAAGCAACGTAAAGCTCCCCAAACACGTCAAAGACCTATTGTTGAGAGTTGTGGAGACGTATAAATCATGGTTGGTTTATAAAACTGAACATCCCACAGAGAACCATATATAATAACATGGCACCACTACAAATCTAACAAGGGAAGACCACCCACCAAAACTCGCAGACCAGGAAAGAAGGGCATTAAATCACAGATGCAATAAAAACACCAAAGAGAACACTGAAGGAGCTGCAAAGATCCACAGCAGAGATGGGAGTATCTGTCCACTTTACTTCCATACACTCTACAGAGTGAGCTTTATGGAAGAGTGGCCAGAAAAAAAAAGAAGCCATTCATTAAGAAAAAAGAAAACACTAGGAGTTCTCCAAATCACCAAACAGTATGTGGTACAAACACATGGAAGGAGGTTCTCTGGTCAGATGGGACTAAAAATGAATTTTTTGGCCATCATTAGAAATGCTGTGTGGCGTAAACCCAACACTTCCCATCATCCTGAGAAAACCATCCCCACAGTGAAGCATGGTGGTGTGAAGCCTTATGCTATGAGGATGCTGTTCGTTGACATGGACAGCAAAACTGGTTATGATTGAAGTAAATATGGATGGCACTAAATACAAGGAAGTTCTCAAATAAAACCTGTTTTAGTCTGTCAGACATTTGAGACTGTCCGGCTAGAAGAATTCCATCTCAATGACCATAAACATACTGCTAAAGCTACACTGGGGTGGATTAAAATAAAGCATTTACAGTAAATGTCTTAGAGTGGCCTAGTCAAAGCTCAAACCTCGATCCAGTTGACTTGGATTGCTGCACACCAATGCAGCCCATGTAACCTGAAAGAGCTGAAGCAGTTTTGCCTTGAATGATGGCAAAAATCCCAGTGGCTAGATGTGTTAAAGCAAAACTAAACCCTCCTATCCTTTACAGCCAAAGAAGCTTCCATCTCAGCCTGCAGTTGCCATGGGGCTGCACATTTGATCAGTTACAACACCAACCCTTTGATGTCCTGACAGTTCAATTAAGAGCACAAGCAACTGTGAGTTATCATTCATGGCATGCTTTGAATGTAACTGTTTTTGGAAACCGTTAAAACTTTAGTTCTGCTTTAAGCTAATAGAGACATACCCCAAGAGACTTGATTATTTTTGTGCACTCAAATACATTTGTGTGTTTTTAGTATTAAAGGATAAGTTCACCTTTTGTAACATATTACACCGATATTCAGGGTGTAACATGTAATGAATGGACTGATCCCCGCACCCCCATCCCCATTGTGACAGCTAGCGGGGGATCTTGATCTTTTCCTCCCCGCTAGCTATCACAATTTTTAAAAAAACCCAGCCGTGTGTGGCTCTGCCCGCCTGGCTGCATCACTCATTCACAGAATTCTGTGAATGAGAACACTACCAGTTCCAGTTCCGACAGCCTTTGCAGTTGTCAATGAACTACCACAGCGCTGTGGAGCCCTGTGGTAGTTCATTGAGTCTTCCTGTCAGGAAGTATCTGTTTGCCTGTACGAAATGTACGGGCAAACAGATACACTGACAGGTCTGCAGGACACCTGCATGGCACCAGCAATCTGCTGATCGCTGGTGCAATGTTTTAGAATCTCCAGAAACACAAAAATGTGCATTTATTTACCTGCAAAAAAATGTGCATTTATTATTTTTTGTTAAACAGTGAACTTATCCTTTATTGTGTCATAATAAAAAATATTTTGCAACTTCAAACATGTAGGATTGTTGTGTACATCACATAGTACAAAGCCCCAAAATCCATTTTAAATCCTGCTTGTGAAACAAAACAGGAAAAAAAAACCAAGGGGCAGATCTTTCCAAGACCATTGTATATCTTTTGTTTTTATACAAATGACATTTCCATTGAGTGGAATGCCACTTCAGTTAAAAACAGAGTTTTCCAAGACAATAAAGTAGTACAAATTGCCTCGTGAAATATTTCCTAAAATTGATCTAATTTACCCAACTTACCTATTTTAGTGCCAGTCTTGTGGGTGCTTCCATCCCAATATCAATATTAAAAAATAAATATTTGGTGATAACACAACTAAATTCTATGGCAAATACCAGTTTTGTAATTTTTTTGGTAATGGCAAGGACACGGTCTATATTTTTGGGAGTCTCACAGGGTAGGCACCTATGACATCAGATGTTTGGATCAGATATATCTGTGCAAATTGTGGGACCTTTAGACCTGCAAAGCATGAAACTTGGAAATCACCATTTGTCAGAGAGGGTAAAGTACCTAAAGCAGAACGTACTGCAGCAGCGGGGCAGCACCACTGCCATTGCAGAGTTTAAATACTGCAATAGGCCTATTCAATGTCTAGCCCTTTCCTTGCTAAGCAAGAAAAAGTCCACTATTCTTTTTTTTTTTTTTTGAGAGAAAGAAGTCTTACCCCATCCTCTGCTTGGAGTTTTCTCCTCTTCTTGACCCTCTCTGGCATCAGCTTGGCCACCCTTTCCTGTGTACTCTCAGAGCCAAATTCCTGCTCAAAGCTCCTCCAGGACTCAAGTAGCATCAGTCTCTCTTCCTTCTCTTCACAGTTCCTGAGAGTCTTGTTTGCCTCCTCATAGATTTGCCTGCATTTACCCAGCGTGTCCTCAGCACCAGTTGTCAGTTCAAACTGTGCAAAGCTGATCCAAACCTGGGGAAGTGGGGAGGAAAAAAAAAAAAGATGATTTGATATTTGAACATCTAAACATGTCTGAGCCTTTTCTGGAAAGATGGCGCTATACATAGAAAGGAAAATCCTACCCCACAGACTGCTGGATGTTGGAAATGGTCTCGTGCACTGTGTGCAGACCCTGGAGGAGGTCATTTCATCCCCAACCCATCACAAGACTGACAGAAGACTCTCTTCCATGTAGGTGGTCATATGAGCTCTCCCTAGAATGGCCCCTGCTTCACTATTTCAGTAATTAAAAGGTAATATTATTGCTGCTAGTTTCTTTAGCCACTTGCCCTCTTTTACCCCCCTTCCTGACCAGTCCATTTTTTGCGTTAAGGTGCTGCGTTACTTTAACTGACAATTGCACGGTCATGCAACGCTGCACCCAAATTAAATTTACGTTTTTTCCCATGAAGTGAGCTTTCTTTCGGTGGTATTTGATTGCCTGTACGGTTTTTATTTTTTGTGCTACAAGCAAAACAAGATCGATAATTTTGAGAACAAAAACAATATTTTGGACTTTTTGCTATTAAACATGTCCAGTAAAAAAAAAAAAAAAAAAAAAATTTCATCATAAATTTAGGCCAAAATGTATTCTGCAACATGTCTTTGCTAGAAAAAATCCCAATACGTGTAAATTAATTGGTTTACATGGAAGTTATAGTGTTTACAAATGGCAGTATAGATAATGGGATTTATTTTTCTACTAGTATTGGCTGCGATCAGAAACTTTCAGCGGGACTGCGGCGGACATTCTGACACTTGGGGGGGGGGGGGGGGAAACTAACTTGGACACCAATAAGTGATCAGTGTTAAAAAAAACCACTGACACTGTACTAATGGCACTGGGCAGGAAGGGGTTAATGTGAGGGGCAATTAAAGGGTTAACTGTGTGCTGGGAGTGTTTTACTAGGGGGCGGGGTGTGTGTTCTTCACTGTAAGCACACAGATTGGGATGGCTGTACTGTGCACAGCCATCCCGAGCAGTGTGCTCGAGCTGACAAGGAGGAAGATTGTTTGTAAACAAAACAATCTTCCTCCCCGTCGGAGATGCTAGGTAATCACCGGGTGCCAGCAGGTAATTACCGGCTGGGACCTGGTGATTGATATCCTCAGCCGCGAATGGCGGCGCTGGTAGGGCGCACGTCACATACCCGGAAATGCAAAATCATGTATACATATATGTGATTCTGCACACAGGTGCCGCCCTCTATATCTGCTATAGGGCGGTCCTTGAGCGGTTAAAGAGGAACTACACTGCATCTAAGCAGAACAAGCCAAAAACACTATTTAATTCCTTTTTAATATTTAAAGCCAACTCCCCCATCCATCCATGATTCCATGATTTATTTTGCTGAGAAATCAGTTTGAAAAACACCCCTCTAGCATTTCTGGCCGCGTCCATCTTAAGGCCAGATTATTTACAGAATTTACTTCCTGGAATCTGCAATCTATCTGCCTTAGCTAAGAAAGACCCTCCTCCCCTCTGAAGACTCCTGGGATGTAAAAAGTCTACATTTCAGAACTTTTTCCACCTTTAATGTAACCTATAAACTGTACAACTCAATTGAAAAACGAACTGAAATCTTTTAGGTGGACTGAAGTAAAAATACAAAACTAAAATAAAATATGGTTGCATAAGTGTGCACACCCTTAAACTAATACTTTGTTGAAGCACCTTTTGATTTGATTCCAGCACTCAGTCTTTTTGGATATGAGTCTATCAGCATGGCACATCTTGACCTGGCAATATTTCCCCACTCTTCCTTGCAAAAACACTCCAAATCTGTCAGATTGCGAGGACATCTCCTGTGCACAGACCTCTTCAGATCACCCCACAGATTTTTGATCAGATTCAAGTCTGGGCTCTGGCTGGGCCATTCCAAAACTTTATTCTTCTTCTGATGAAGCCATTCCTTTGTTGATTTGGATGTATGCTTTGGGTCGCTGTCATGCTGAAAGATGAAATTCCTCTTCATGTTCAGCTTTCTACCAGAAACCTGAAGGTTTTGTGCCAATATTGACTGGTATTTAGAACTGGTCATAATTCCCTCTACCTTGACTGACTAAGGCCCCAGTTCTAGTGAAAAAAAAAAAACAGCCCCAAAGCATGATGCTGCCTCCACCATGCTTCATTGTGGGTATGGTGTTCTTTTGGTGATGTGCAGTGTTGTTTTTGTGCCAAACATATCTTTTGGAATTATGGCCAAAAAAGTTCAACCTTGGTTTCATCAGACCATAACACATTTTCCCACATGCATTTGGGAACTTCAGATGTGTTTTTGCAAAATTTAGCAAAGCATGGATGTTTTTCTTTGTGAGAAAAGGCTTCCGTCTTTCCACTCTACCCATAGCCCAGACATATGAAGAATATGGGAGATTGTTGTCACATGGACCACACAGCCAGTACTTGCCAGATATTCCTGCAGCTCCTTTTTATGTTGCTGTAGGCTTCTTGACAGCCTCCCACACCAGTTTTCTTTTCATCAATTTTGGAGGGACGTCCAGTTCTTGGAAATGTCACTGTTGTGCCATATTTTCTCCACTTGATGATGAACTGTCTTCACTGTGTTCCATGGTATATCTAATGCCTTGGAAATTCTTTTGTACCTTTCTCCTGACTGATGCCTTTTAACAATGAGATCCCTCTGATGCTTTGGAAGCTCTCTGCATACCATGGCTTTTTCTGTAGGATGCGACTAAGAAAATGTCAGGAAAGACCTACTAGAACAGCTCAATTTTTTGGGGGTTAATCAGAGGCACGTTAAATGATGGCAGGTGTGTACTGACTCCTATTTAACATGATTGCTTATTCTGAACACAGCTACATCCCCAGTTATAAGAGGGTGTGCACACTTATGCAACCACATTATTTTAGTTTTTTATGTTTACTCCCCCCCCCATAAAATATTTCAGTTTGTTTTTCAATTGAGTTGTACAGCTTATAGGTCACATTAAAAATGGAAAAAGTTCTGAAATTATTTATCTTTGTCTCATTTTTTTACATCACAGAAACCTGACATTTTAACAGGGATGTGTAGACATTTTTATATCCATTGTATGACATCATTTGCCTAGGCATAGAAACCAGGAAGTAACTGAAAAAAATGTAAAAGAAAGTCCCCAAAAAACTTTAATATATGTAATTATGATATACTTTCTTATCTATTTACTAATGCTAGCAACATAAGGATTAAAAATAGTCAAATGTTGTTTGAGAGAGAAGTTCCGCTTTAAGCATGTACACAACAGAAAAAATCACGTGACTTGGGACACTTCAAAGTTCATTTTAGCAATCCCGGGGGTGATTATTTCAGGTTCACCAGGTAAGACAATACATTTATGTAGGAATCATATACCTTTAAACCAGTTTAGCTGCTACACCAATATACCGCTCATGAACCAGAGCGGTATATTGGTGTGGCAATTTTTTCATTTTCACTATAGGCCTAACACAGTGAAGGAAAGAAGTATTTGATCCCCTGATGATTTTGAATGTTTGCCCACTTACAAAGAAATGATCAGTCTAAAAAATCGAATGATAGGTGTATTGTAAAACTGAGAGACAGAATAGCAACAAAAAATTCAAAAGAAATGCATGTCTAACAAATTATGCACCGATTTGCATGTTCATGAGGGAAATAAGTATTTGATTCCCTTCACAAAACATGACTTAGTACTTGGTGACAAATCCCTTGTTGGCAATCACAGAGGTCAGATGTTTCCTGTAGTTGGCCACCAGGTTTGCACACATCACAGGAGGGATTTTGGCCCACTCCTCTTGGCAGATCTTCTCCAAGTCATTAAGGTTTGGTGGCTGACGTTTGGTAACTCAAACTTTCAGCTCCCTCATCAGATTTTCAATCGGATTAAGGTCTGGAGACTGGCTAGGCCACTCCAGGACCTTAATGTGCTTCTTCTTGAGCCACTCCTTTGTTGCCTTGGCCATGTGTTTTGGGTCATTGTCATGCTGGAACACCCATCCACTACCCATTTTCAATGCCCTGGCTGAGGGAAGAAGGTTCTCACCCAAGATTTGATGGTACATTGCCTCGTCCATCGTCCCTTGGATGCGGTGCAGTTGTCCTGTCCCCTTAGCAGAAAAACATCTCCCAAAGTAGAATGTTTCCATCACCATGTTTGATAGTTGGGATGGTGTTCTTGGGGTCATAGGCAGCATTCCTCCTCCTCCAAACATGAGTTGAGTTGATGCCAAAGAGCTCGATTTTGGTCTCATCTGACCACAACACTTTTCAACCAGTCCTCCTCTGCATCATTCAGATGTTCAGTGGCAAACTTCAGATGGCCTGGACATGTGCTTTCTTGAGCAGAGGAGCCTTGCGGGTACTGCAGGATTTCAATCCTTGTCGGCGTGTGTTACCAATTGTTTTCTTGGCGACTGTGGTCCTATCTGCCTGGAGATCATTGACAAGATCCTCACGTGTAGTTCTGGGATGATTCCTCACTGTTCTCATGATCATTGACACTCCACGAGGTGAAATCTTGCATGGTGCAACAGACCTAGGGAGACTGACAGTTGTTTTGTGTTTCTCTCCCATTTGTGAATGATTGCACCATCTGTTGTCACCTTCTCACCAAGCTGCTTGGCGATAGTTTGGTAGCCTAGTCCAGCCTTGTGTAGGTCTACAGTCTTGTCCCTGACATCCTTGGACAGCTCTTTGCCATGGTGGAGAGTTTGGAATCTGTGGACAGGTGTCTTTTATACAGGTAACAAAATGAGATTAGCAGCACTCCCTTTAAGAGACTGCTTCTAATCTCAGCTTGTTACCTGTAAGAAAGACACCTGGTAGCCAGAAATCCTGCTGAATGATTGGGGATCAAATACTTATTTCCCTCATGAACATGCAAATCAGTGCATAATTTGTTAGACATGCATTTCTTTTGAATTTTTGTTGCTATTCTGTCTCTCAGTGTTACAATACACCTACCATTCGACTTTAGACTGACCATTTCTTTGTGTGTGGGCAAACATTCAAAATCAGCAGGGGATCAAATACTTATTTTCTTCACTGTATTTCAGCAATATCCTGTCCATTCTTTATGATACCAAGGTAATGCGCGTGTTTTTTTCCAGGAGAAAAACCCAAAAGCATTTTTCCCCAAGCAAGGACAAAAATACATAATTAAAAAAGTTCAAATCCATATATAATTGAAATAACTATATAAAAATAGGCAGAAAAATAATAGCTAAGGGGAGGAAGTAGTCAATTAAAAAAACTACACACACACACAAAAAAACCACTTTATTAGGTACACCTTGCTAATGCCAAGAAAATATCCCCCACAGCATTACACCACCAGCCTGGACCATTGATACAAGGCAGGATGGATCCATGCTTTCATGTTGTTTACTCTGAATTCTGACCCTACCATATGAATGGCAAAGTAACCAGTCTGCCTATTCTCCTCTGACATCAACAAGGCATTTTCATCCACACAACTTCCGCTCACTGGATATTTTTTTTTTTTTTGGGCCATTTCCTGTAAACTCTATAGATGGTTGTGTGTGAAAATCCCATAGATCAGCAGTTTTTGAAATACTCAGACCAGCCCATCTGGCACCAACATCCATGCCATTTTCAAAGTCACTTAAATCCCCTTTCTTCCTTAGTCTGTTGCGCGGTTGGAACTTCAGAAAGTCGTCTTCACCACGTCTAGATGCCTAAATGCATTGAGTTGCTGCCATGTGATTGGCGGATTAGCAATTTATGTTACCAAGCAATTGAACAGGTGTACCTAAAAAAAGTGGCCAGTGTATCTATATCTATATCCCAAGGTACATCCATAAAGTTGTTTTTTGAATTTACCAAATCCTTTTTGGATTTTTAAAGCAAATCAAAACTTTACAAATGAGTAATCTATCTGAATTATGTACCTTAACATGCTGTGTTCTCTGTAGAAGTCTTCTATATAAGTTTCTTGTTTTATCAAATTCTTCCTGTTCAATTTCAAAGTCAATGTATGATTTCCAAAGAACCTGCAAAAAGAGAAGAAAAGCAATGGAGCAAACAAGCCATGAATACTACACAATGCAGCCAAATTCTCAGAACACCCCTCCAAATTTCTGGGTTCAGGTTTTTCCGGGGTACTATTAATGCTAGAGCTCATGAAAACGTTTAGATAACTGCTCCTAACTTGTGTGATGAGACTGGAGAAGGCCCTTTTTCTGTTCCAACATGACCATGTCCCTTGTACGTAAAGCCAGCTTCAGAAAACAAAATTTATCAAGTTTGGTGTCGAAGAACTTGAGTGGCCTGCACAAAGCCCTGACTTTAAACCAACTGAATACCTTTGGGATGAAAAGGAATGTCGTGTGAGCCAAGTCTTCTTACCCAATACCAGTACGTAACCCACTAATTTTTTTTTTTTCACATGAACTCTCCCTATAATGATCCCTGCCTCACTATTTCAGTGATTAAAGGTAACATTATTGCTGCTAGTTTCTTTATAGAGGTACTACACTGCATCTAAGAAGCACAAGCCAAAAACACTATTTAATTCATTTTTAATATTTAAAGCAAACTCCCCCATCCACCCATGTCTCCATGATTTATTTTGCTGAGAAGTCAGAGAATGAAAAAGGAATGTCATATGAGAGCCAAGTCTTCGCACCCAACATCAGTACAAAACTTTATATTTTTTTTTTTTTTTAATGAGCAGGTACAAATTCCCACATACACACTTCAACGTCCATCTTGTGTGAAGCTTTCCTTGAAGAGTGGAGGCTGTTAAATATTTAAAGAAGGGAGAAGGTTGTATCTGAATCCAACAAATTCACACAGGTTTGATAGTCAGGGGGGCTATATAGCGTATAGTGATTTCTGAGGTACATGAGCACAAAGTCTCAGTGAAAAAAATGAAAGGACTATCCAACAAAGGCATACCTATCATCAGTACATAAAGGAGGAAGTCATTTATCAGAATGAACCAATATTAAGTCAGTCGGCTCATGAAGAATCGGTTACATCAATGTAGCCTGAACCAGAAATGGAGCCTAATGGCTGTTACGGGTATCTATTGGCTGCACTTACTGAAATCTGAGCTAAATTAAAGTATACATACAGACTTGAATCTGATCGCTGGTGCAATTCTCTAGCGGCTTCACAAACTAAAAATAATAAATGCACATTTTTTTACCTGCAAAAAATGTGCATTTATTATGTTATGTTAAAAAGGTGAAGGTGAAGGTGCGCTTATTCTTTAATTAAAAAAATATATATTTTTTTTAATTGTAAAGAATTAAAGTTACACCCAAGCACCACGACGGTGAGAACACAGCGATCAGTGGTCATGTGATTGGTGAGTTCTCACACTTAGAGCTGGTGGGGGCCAAATTCAGCATCGGACCGATGCTGCATCCACCGTGGTAAACGTATATTGGTGAAAACAAAAAAAAAAACATCCATTTAGTTGGTGCAACCTCGGCTTTCATATTTTACAAAAAAAATGTAGTGACTCATTGCGTTTTTGTGCCCCCTAAAAATTAACTTTACTGTGTTTCTTACTGAAATTGTGTTTCCTAGACCGCTGCAGTAATATTGTGCGACCTAAAAAATTAGAACTACCGCTATTTTATTTTCTAGGGGATCTGCTTTCAGAAAATATATGTTTTGCGGGGGTTTCTAATGTAAAAACTGCTCTGGCAGCGAAAGGGTTAAAAGGTTAAGTTCACCTTTTGGAACATATGACACGTTCCCGCGCTCCTGCTGCAATCTGAACCCTCTGTGTGACAGCAGTACGAGTAGAAGTTCCCCACCATAGCCGTCATTAAAAAAAAAAAAAAAAAAAAAAAAAAGAAAGAAGGAGCGGCAGTGCAAGCCACATGCCTACATCATTCATTCCCAGAGTTCTGTGAATGTGAAAACTACTAGCACCAGTATCCTTTGTGAATGTTAGCTTATAGTTCAATGAACTACCACAGCACTATTGAGCTGTCTGATAGTTCAATGATTCCTCCTGTGAGTGTGAAACTGCTTGCCCATACGATGTTACACTCTGGTGCAATACAGTCTGCAGGAGTCCTGTATTGCACCAGAGATCTGCTGATTGCTAGTGCAATACGTTCCAGGCTTCTAACAAAAAAAAAGTAAATGCACCTTTTTTTTTACCTGCAAAAATTTATTTATTTTTTTTTTTTTTAAAGATGAACTTATTCTTTAACCACTTGCCGACCGGCCGTTGTATATAAACGGCCGGACGGTGGCACTGCAGGGTCAGGTGGCCGTCAATAAACGGCCTCCCCGCACCCTGCTTGTGCGCGCTCCCTGGGAGCGCGCAGCACCGCGATCCGGTGCCCGCTGCTGTGTCCTCCGGACACAGTGAAACACCGATCATCGGACGGGACCTCTGTACGAGGTCCCGATCATGTGATCACTGATTGGCCAATCAGTGATCACATGCAAAGTAGTAAGCAAGATGTCACTTGTGACATCATTGCTTACTATGTGTGAAATCTGTGAATGATCACAGAGGTCACATGGTACAAGGCTATTCACAAAAGCCTTGTACCATGTGACAGGATGTGACCAATCACAGCTCACTCAGTTCTTCTCAATGAGTGCATGAATGCACACAGAGAGAAAGAGAAATGATTGCTTTTACATCCTATATGGGTGTGTAAAAGCAATCAGTGTAAAAAAAAAAAAAAAAAATTCATCACCCCTCACAAGTAGTACAGTGTCACCATGGTGACACTGTACTGCTAGGGTGACAGTATGTAAAAAATAAAAATAAAAATAAAAAAATAATATATAAAAAAATAAAATAAAAATGTAAAAAAAAATGTTTAAAAATTATAATTTTTGCTTATAAACTAATTTGGATTTTTTTTTTTTTTTACTAAAAAGATAACGGAATAAATTTTGGCTAAGATTTATGATGAAATATTATTTATTTGCAAAATTTTATAAAAAAAACACTTTTTTTCAAAATTTTTGGACATTTCATTTACATAGCAAAAAAAATACAAATCCCAGCGGTGAATAAATACCACCAAAATAAAGCTTTATCTATCTCAAAAAAAATGGTAAAAAATTAATTTGGGTACAGTGTTGCATGACCGCGCAATTGTCATTCAAAGTGTGATAGCGCTAAAAGCTGAAAATTGCCCTGGTCAGGAAGGGGGTAAAAGTGTCCGGTCTGGAAGTGGTTAATGGAGCACACACCAGAGCTTGATTTGGCACTAGAAATGAGCACCAGAGTGCTTCCAACTGCAAGAGTAACCTGAAGTAATACATTTTTTTTATCTTATTGGGGCTGGCTCCTCATTTACTCGCTCAGCAAATGTCAGCCCGACACTCCCCTTTCCTGATGAACATCCAATTGGTGCTTGTCACACTGCAAAGTGTCTCCCCTCCCTGCTAGTCTCTGAGTGAAGTGCTGGAGACATGCATGGAGGTGAGGAGGAGATAAACAGCGCTATGTTAAAAAACATTAAAAGTTTAAGTTGCCATAAAGCCCCTTCTGTATTTAAAGCCCCAGACATTCCTAAAATGCACCTCAGATATAGATAATTTTTTATCATCAGTACAAGTAGATTGTCACGAGGGAGAAGTAGATTGGGACTTCAATTTAGTCCCTTGGAAGTAGTTTTTTTTTTTTTTTTTCCAATTTCCATACCCCGAATATATATCACATTTTTGGTTTTGACTTGAATACCACCTTAAGGTCTGTCTCGGTCATGAGAATGGTGTGGTGAGGAAAGGCCACTAAGGGACTTTAGTCTTCAAGTGCTAGAGACATTTTTTTTTTTAAAAAGTGAAAATACTTTCATGCAGCAGTTTCTGAAACACAAAAATATGCCTCCCTAGACAAACAAAAAAAAATAAATAAAAAAGACTCACTTACTTCAGGCATATCAAGACGTGGCTGTCCAATAGCAAGCTCATACACAGCACGGGCTCTTTCAACATCACCCAGAATAGTTTCCAATTCTGCAAATTTAATCCATGTTGTGCAGTTTTCAGGTCCAAATTCCAAAAACTTTTCATACAACTTTCTACATCTATCAAATTCTCGAAGTTGTAACTCCAGTTCTATATAGCCTTTAAACAACTTCTGTTTTGGTGATTTGCCAATGGATGTGCCCTATACGGGGGGAAAAGATCAAATGTGTTAAATGTATTTCAGAGGCACTGTCTAACAGTTAAAATAATCTGATACAAAAAAAAAAAAAAAAGAAGTTTGATGAAATTGGGTGACAGATCGTCAAATTCCAGACCGTCCAAAAATCTGTGGATATGTAAAAAGCTAAACCTTTTCTTTTTTTTCAAATTTATGAAAGAGTGCCTAGACTCTGTATCAAGTTTTTATTTTACTGCATTCAGCATCCCAGCTGGTGAGATTCATCTTCTCTATTTGTCTTGATGACCATTGTCACCAAAACAGAAAGTGATGATATATCCAAAATTTTACAGTTGTCACCAGATCAAGATGTGAGGGAAGATATTCCAATGGGGACAATTACATCAGAGGGGAATTCCACCCTATTTTGTGAAGATCTTACTGTTGCAACTTTGGAACAGGAAACAAAGGGCAGCCTCATCCTAATTCATGTTTCTACTCAACATTTCCATACAAAAGTTATGGTACAGCAAACATATAGAGCAAGCAAGATAAAACCTTTAGATGTTTATTTTGACATTTCACTAAAATTAGATTCTTTTTATATTTATCACATATATAATGTTTAGCCTATTTTCACACAGTGTTCAAAGAAGACATGCACAGGAGGGATCAAAATTTTACTTTAACTTACCAAAGCTTTTCGAGCAAAAGGAAGATTTTTCTGTCGTATTTCAAATTGTGCATACATTAACCACATTTTGGCAAATGTAAACTGAAAAGAAGAAAAACAATAATGAAACCTGAATTTAAAACAAGCCATTGCACTAACTCACTGTGGGTGTGGAGCCAGTACTCTAAAAGTAGCATTACTTTTGGACCTACATCACCCACTGATTAAAAGCATAAGTGCCTTAACCACAAGCCTACAGGGCACTTATACCCCCTTCCTGCCCAGGCCAATTTCCAGCTTTCAGCGCCGTCACACCTTGAATGACAATTGCGCGGTCATGCAACACTGTTTTTGAAATTTTTATCATTTTTTTTTCGTGACAGAGCTTTATTTTGTGGTATTTAATCACCTCTGAATTTTTTATTTTTTCTTAAACCAAAAACCACTAAAAATTTTGAAATTTTGAAAAAAAAAAAGTTTTTTCTTAGTTTTTGTTATAACATTTTGTAAATAAGTGATTTTTTTTCCCTTCACTGATGTGCGCTAATGAGGCTGCAGTGGTGGGCACTGATAGGCTGCATTGATGGACACTGATGAGGAGGCACTGGTAGGTGGCACTGATGGGCATTAACAGGCATCACTGATATATGGCACTGATAGGTGGCGCTGACAGGCAGCACTGACAGGCACTGATATGTGGCATTGATGTGCACTGGTAGGCACTGATATGTGGCACTGATGGACACTGACAGGTGGCACTGCTGGGGCTACACTGATCATCAGTGCCCTGATGATCAGTGTACATGTCCCCTCTGCAGAATGCCGATTACCGGCTTTCTTTCCTCTCGAGCTGTCAGCGTGACAGCTCGAGATGAGAGAAATGCCGATAACCAGCATTTCCCTGTTTACATGTGATCAGCTGTGATTGGACACAGCTGATCACATGACCAAGCCGACATCTTCGGCTCTTTCCGTGGATTGGTGATCCGCTATGTCCAAGGGACACAGCGCACCGCCGATCGCCCTCCCTGAGCCACGCATGCGGGGTGAGAATGGGAGGACGTCATATGATGTCTTCCCAGAAAGAGAGAACCACCTTGCACCCTTCATATTACTATATGGTGTTCGGGAGGTGGTTAAAACCACTTTTTACCTCGCAATCTGAACTGCTAAGACCATGCCAAGTCTGAAAGTGTTTTGGGCTCAAATAATGCACAGCTTGTACTTTCATTTTACCTTTTTGTGTGGTATTAATTCTAAGCAGGCTTGATATACTTGTCTGGTCCTTTCTGGATCCTGTCAAAATAATATACAAAATATCATAAATTATCTGTCCAATGCAAAGAAAAAAAAAATAATAATCACCAAAACCACTTGACCTCCGGAAGATTTACCCCCTTCCTGACCAGGCCATTTTGTGCTATACGGCACTGAGTTATTTTAACTGACAATTACGCGGTCGTGCAACAATGTACCCACATGAAATTCCTGCCATTTTCTCCCCACAAATAAAGCTTTCTTTTAGGTTGTATTTGATTATCACCGGGGTTTTTATTTTTTGCGCTATAAACAAAAAAGTCCGACAGTTTTGAGAAAAAAACATTTTCTACTTTCTGCTATAAAATACATCCAATTAAAAATTTTAAAAATCAAATTTCTTCATAAATTTAGGCCAATATGTATTCCGATACATATTTTTGGTAAAAAATCCCAATAAGCGTATACTGGGATTTGAACTGGAATTTTGTATTTAATTTTTTTTATACTTGTAATGGCGTTAATCAGCGACTTATAGAGGGACTACAATATTGTGGCAGACAGACAATTTGACACTAAACTTTGTGGGAACCAGTGACACGTGCTAAAAATATACACTGCCAATGTACTAACAACACTGGTTGAGAAGGGTTAACTGTGTGCCTAACGAGCGTTTGTGATTTTACTGAGGGATGTGCTAGATTTATTCTCTGCTTTGCAGGTAAACAAAATCCAGCACATCCCCACTAACAGGACAGAGCTCTGCATTGTTTACATATGTGTCTCCTCGCCAATTAGCAGATGCCGGCAGTCATCCATTGATATTGCTAAGACAAATCACAGCAGAAGCGGCGCATGCATTTCCTACCCCCAAGCAGCCGCCTTGAAGCAGTAAAACTGCTATAAGGCGGTCGGAAAGTGAATAAACACCTCTTTGCAATCAATACACGATATATAAAGAGATTCATGAATATCAATTTGCAAAGTATCACTAGTTTTTTTTGCGAACCAGATATCCACTATTAATACCATGTCACACATGACCCCTCACAGCTACTGAACCACAGTGCCAGGTTATCAATTCAATAGCAAGTACAACAGTGAATAAAAGGATACTGGATGAACATTTAATAATGTCTGTTGTGAACTTCTATTTCCTAAAGTTCTCTGCTTATTCACACACTGTAATAGTCTTATGTAGTTCTTCAAAATCATCAGAGGGTGATTGTTGTTGAAATGTATGGTCTGGCAACAAAGTGCTGCCAAATAACTCCAAAATATAACAAATGTGACTTCTAGGACTCCATCTAGAAGTACCCTCTTGCACTTCAATTAAAGAAAAAAAAATGTAACTGTATTGTTCATACCTTTGCCTCCAGCTCTTCATACAGTGCATAGTTAATCCACAAGTATATATATCTTTTCCAGTGTCTCTTCTCCTTAGTGGGCGGGATGTTAGCAATAGCACGTTCATACACTTCTCGGACAGTGTCAGCATCTGCATCACTTTCCACCAACCGCAAGTAGTCAAACCAAGCATCATAATTATGAGGATTGGCCTAAAAAGTGTAACAATGATTAGTTCCAATATTAGATCATCCAAGCTAGGAATCAAAACAAGAATGAAAATCTAGGTGCAGCAATACACTGTACATCAGGGGTGTCCAACCTTTCACTTTCCTGGGCCACATTGGAAGAAGAGGAATCGGGCCACACATGAAATACACTAACAATAAGATAGCTGATGAGCAGAAAAAGTCAGGCAGATCACAAGTTAATGATCACTGATATAGATAATGTACCTAAGTGATAAATATTTTTTTGTAATATTTTTTTATCATAAAAAGTAAAAGAAGGCGATATTTGACAGTGTTTTTTGATAAACTAAGCCTAGAGCGATATTTGACAGTGTTTTTGATAAACACATTAATATCTGGTTCGATGGATGTAGTAGCAATTCTCAATAAATTCTCAAGGTGTTCACTGGATATTTTGGTTCTAATTTAGTCCTTCGTGTGCTTCATCCTTGAAAATAGTTGCTCACAAATATAGGTGCTGCCAAAAACATGAATAAGGCATGATTGTGAAGAGTGGGATATTTTTCTTTGGGAAGAGAAAACCTATAAAAGTCTGGTAAACTGCCACATTTTTTTCAGCCCCTTTTTTTTTTTTTTACAATAAGTGAAAACACATTTTTATAAAAATTCTAAATAAAAAATTCTAAATAAATATAATATATATATATATATATATATATATATATATATATATATATATATTATATATATAGATAGCCACAGTTTGGACACTCCTGCTGTTGATAATTTGTAACACCATTCACCTTGACTTCTTCCTCATACTGAAATCGCCTTTTATTCACGATGATATCTTCAATCCCCCTCCGGTCCCCGTATTTTTTTTTTCAAAAATGGTGTAGTTCTTGAACAGCTCTTGGGCATGTTGCTTTGAGATTCTGTCTAGGGCATATTTATAGATGACTCGTACTCTTTCAGACTAAAAAAAAAAAAAAGAAAGTCAGTTTAGTTAATTTGTAATCTTATATTTCTACCTTGTGGATGATGTTGAGAATAGAGATCATTGTACTCAGCTTATGCAGTGATCAAGACACTCCTGCCAAACAGCAAATACAGAGCCTTAAACCTCTGCTGTAAATCATTACTTCTTAGTCAAGAACAACTCCAGCCTACTTGCTAAATGGTGGAGCAGCAGCAATCTGATTTGTTCATTACTTTGCTCTGTCCTTCTGTTAGTATGTACCCTTATCTGCACATGTGCACAGCAGCAGAGCCTGACTGGCTCCTAGTCCTTGTGCTCCCACTTCCAACCTGTACATGGCATAAACAGGAAATGGATATCAAAATAAATTTGAGTATTTAGCTAAGCTACATTTAGAAATATCAGTACATAACTGCACTGATTACTGCTTTTTTTTATATTTGTATGGATTTCAGCTTTAAAAAATGGCCAAATTAATGATTTTATCCAGGATAACTGAGTAATGTACTATCAGAGAAGTATAAAAGTGGATTGTAAGACTAATACTGGTTCAAATCATCTTCTTCCTTCAATACGCAGAAGTCAATTGGGAAGAACCTAGTCTGAAAAAAAAAAATGCATACTGATTTTATTTGTACCAAAAAAAACCCCCAAAAAAAACCAAAACCCAAAAAACAAAACAAAAAACAAAAACTTACAATAATGCTTAACTCTAGGCAGATATAGAATACAAAAATGAATGCAGCTCTGTATTCAATAATACATAATTACATGAATGTTGTAAATGCAGGCAGTGTAAGTAGCTGAATTTGAACTGATAGCCTCTTGCAATCCCAGGAGGACTGGAGAGTGAGCAGAAGAAACAGAACAAGGATCCAATCCGTTTATGCGGTGACATGGAGCATGTTGACAGGAGGAGAAAGTACAAAAAAAACGAGTTCATGTGCTGTGCTGCTTCTCATTTATTTTGCAGACACAATCTTGGGGTGGGTCCTCAAAAGCCTGGGCTCAGAGAGAGTAGGATGAATGATGCTGAATTAGTGCACTGGGCAGCTCCTGGTTTAATTTATTATTGTACCAAAAAGCAACTTGAGTTCTGCTAAAATAAATAAATAAAAAGCCAAATGGCGGAATGTCACTGCAAAATAGATAAACCCACCTCTTTTTGATTTTCCTCAAATTTGGCAAATGCAACATAAAGATTCTCATCCATATGAAACTCTCCGAAAAACTCCACTGCCCTCTCGTACACCTTCCTTGCGTGTGCAATGTATCCATGCTTCTCCTCAAAGCGGGCATACTTGATCCAGTTCTTCACATCAGGATGTACAATGACAAGTGCATGGGTGTTAAGGGAAATTTTTAGCCATCCATCCTGTACAAAAGAACTTTCGGCCTTTATAACCAACTACATCATTTACAGATGTTCATTGGAGTTTGCACGGTTTTAATCCTTACTCCACACTTCTACTTCCACTACTTTAAACCCCCTTATCTCCAGGCGAAACAAAATATTTTCCAATGCAGTAGAGCTGTGTGCCTGCACTGCCGGGGTCAACTGCTCATTTTGTCTAGGGGCTGAGCAAAAAGCTGGATACCTTACATCCTCTGCTTTTCCCTAATGTAAAATGAACATAAATTTTAAAGCTGAAGTTTAATGGTTTTTTTTTTGCTTTGCAGATCATATTTTACTTCTAATGAAGTGTGTGCCATGTCCAACTGGCTCCTGCATAGTGTGGAAATCTCCCCACTGTCACCAGGTCCTCTCCACAATGCTGATATAGCAATAGGCAACTCGATTTCTAGTGCAACACAATGATCCTCCTATATCTTGAGGTGTGACTATTTTGGTGGCGAAGAGAAGAAGTGCCTCTAAGTGCAGTATAGGTAACTTTATTAGATAACAAATGTAGAACAACTCACATATTATATGATAAAAGCAAGCTCAAAAGGATGAGAGAACGGCTGTGTCCATGCTGTGTCTGCACTTAGAAGACTGTGGATGTAGGAAAGAGCCGGCCAGTGTGTACAGTCTCCTAAAGATGGCGTCTGGAACGCACATTGAGGCGCGACGTCAGCGTTAGTGTGATGACGTATGTGGACCAGCATGCATAGCGACATGCTTCGGAGCATGCGCTAGAGTCGCTCCATTAAAGTTACCTATACTGCACTTAGGAGGCGCTTCTTCTCTTCTCTATTCTACACAGAGTTCTGCTACTACTATAGGAGGCTTGCACTAGTGCTATATGGACTTTTGTAGCCCTACATTGGACTTTTTGGACTCTTTCACTAATTTTAATAGCTGGGGGGGGGTAGCACTTTGCACCGATTGTTCTCAAATTGAGTTTCTTGCTTGTGACCATTATGGTCACTGTCAGCAAACAGTCAGGCCAGGAAAAGTGAACTTGTGAGAGCCTGGACACTTCTCATCAAACCTTCATAGAATAAAGGGCCATCTTGCCAAGAACTAAAATAAAACTACAGTTGATTTTTTTGGATTTCCAGTAATTTAACAGCAGTCAGATTGCTATTAGTTGTCATTTTAACTCTTTCTCTACCAGATCTGTTTTTGCATTTTTTGCACATCTTTAAAAATCAGTTTAGGCCTGAAGTTTACAAACACCCCTAAAACGTATATTTTCTGAAAGCAGACCAGGTTTGTTAGGAAGTGATCGGTGACTGCCAGATTGCTTCTGATTGAATGTCAGCTCTTAAGATACAGTATACACACACAACCACTGGAAGTGTGTGTAAAACCCCCAGCTGTCAGGTACCTATGACGTATGGTAAAAGGGTTAAAGCCCAACAGAAGTTTCACATTTATCTCTTTATACTCCTATATTTCCATTTGCTATGGCTTGGAAATGCTTTCAAATACCTGAGGCTGCCTGCCCTTCTATCCTGCTGTGCTCCATGCTGGCATAGCTAAGTAACTGCCAAACCTCTCAGTATAAGTGTCCTCGCACAGACTTGTATTACAGAGAGAAGAGGGGACATGCCACTATTACTGAGGTGTCTAACATACTGTACAACTGCTGTAACAGAAAGTGGTGGTAGGATTGTGAACACAGAGCTTGTGATTGTAACACGGGTTTTAAGTTTCAAACAACATAAGGAGTATTTATTTCAAACATTTATCTATAAACAGTGTAATGCTTAACACCCTTTTCTTATTACCAGCAATGAAACTGGAGTAACAGAGTGGTATATAAGTCTTGAAAAAAGGATATATCTCTCATAAATGGACCGTGCTTTGTCCACTTCCTTGTAGCGAAGTTCAAAATTGATGTAGGAATGCCATGCTTGTTCTTCAGGCTGCCAGTCCATCCAACGTTCAAATACCTGCCTGGTACCAGGCAACATTGCCCAGCATCTCCTCCATGTAGGTGTATTTGTACCTTTTAAGAGAAGATTAGTGTCGGCCCAGATGTTTCATATAAGAGGCTGACTAGAGATGTCAATGTGAAAACAGTTCATCTTATGTCAAACTAGCTCACTTACCAGAACTGGTTTACTCTAGGTAGGATGGTGATAGCTCTATCCCATATATTTCGTGCATGGTTAACCTGGCGGTTCTTCATCTCCATTTCTGCATATTTCAGCCATAGTGTGATATTCCTGTGGTCTACATCCAATGCTCGCTCGTATATAGATCGCGCCCTACACAGGTGACATATGAGAGTCTATTTACAACAATGATAAGCTTGTCCTGGGAACAATAAAAGTCAAAATTATTATGTCGTGAAGAAAAACTAAAATTATAACTCCAGGGAAACATTTATATTTGTAGTATCATATGTGCAATACTCCATGTTTCTCGTTAAATATGTCCCAAAGCTTAGCTTTGTTTACTTCCATCGCTTTTTACCTGTTGATTTCACCAATATTTATTTTAGGTCATTCTCTGCAGAGGGTGTTAGTCTGTTTCTAGATCTCTTAAAACTGTAGACAAAACATTTATTTTTCTTTTTAAACTGGAAAGAGCAGAACTACTGTCAGGATCTATTGCCCTCAGTGCCCCTTCTTACTGTCATAGTAACACAAAAAGAAGAAAATCAAGGTGACAAACACAACAAAAAACTAAGTCATTATACCTCTGCCCAATATTATCCAAATTTCTAAGGCCCATTTCACATGGAGCAGACTCCGTTTTGATCAGCAGGGGGATCTGTCTGCTGATCAGAGCAGAGAAGGTGGATGACAGGTCTGTGTCTGCACAGTTTATGCAGAGCAGACATGGACAGGGTATGCTGTGCTCTATGGGTGGCCTGGTGTAAACGGACTCTGATGAAGGATGGATCCCCTTTTGTTTTTTTAGTTGACCAAATCGGGGGTAGACAGGTGTAAATGAACACAAATCCTTTTACCCACGGTCCATAGGAGTAAATAGACCGTCCAATCAGGTCTGCCTGATAAACTGAACCTGATTGGACCCTTTGTGTGAAAGGGACCTAAGAGTTTTGGTGTGGGCTCTCTAAGAACAAAAGACTGCACCATCCTTTTTTTTTCTCCCCCCCCCCCCCCCCTAAGTAGTGTACATACCTTTGAACTTCCTTTAGACTTTCTTCCCATTGTGCATATTTTATCCAGTTACTAATAACAGTTCTGTTTTTCCTTATATTATCTTCAAATGTCTGTAGAGAAAAAGGTTTTTTACATAACATGATATGTTAAAAATTCATCCACATTATTGTGCATTGCATGAATGTAATAAGCCAAAATCGACTCAGACAATTCTAAACAGACAAGTATCAACAAACCTGGCCTTGATGCCACATTTTGTCAAGTCTTGTATATTGCAGAGAGGTTCTATGTGGCTCAGAAGCCACCAATGTAAACACAGGTAGCAGATTGGGCTGATATAATTATTGGTCTGCATTTTTTTTCAGAGCCGTCTGCTGGGCTTCAGAAATTCTCTGGGTGAAATTTTAGTGATATTTTAATAAGAAAATACAATTAAAAATAGTAAAATTGTCCCAATGTCCCCCTCTACACAAGTATGACATTTTCATTATGCTAATATACCCAGACTTCTGATATTCAGAATTTTCTTATGGAATAAAAAGATTCCAAACTAGAAGGGGTTACTGTGGCTCCCTACAAGAAAGGAAGAAGCAATGCACAGATATTTAAAAGATTACAAAAAGTCACAAAAATGGTTTTACAGAAGAAAAAAAAAAAATCCTGGTGAATAAAGTAGAATTAAACTCTAAGGCCTCTTTCACATGGGCGTTCCGTTTTTTGCATCAGTTCAGTCATGTTTTTTCCATGAAAAAACGAATCAGTTCACTTGTTTTTCGCCCGTTTACAGCCGTTTTTCATCAGTTCACATCAGTTTTTCGTCCGTTTACATTAATTTTTGTCCGCTTATATCCGTTTCGTTTTTTTTTTTTTTTTTTTAAAAAAGAAAATTAGGGTTTTCCTCCATTCAAAAAAAAAAACGGATGTTAACAGATGATCATCTGTTTACATCTGATAGTCCACAGAAATAAATGAGTGTCCGTTTTTTATCCGTAGATGGACAAATGAAAAATGGACATACGGGACGCCCTTGTGTAAGGGGCCTTACAACGAAATACAAGTTATAGTTTTGTAGATCACAATCAGAACAGGACTGCGTTATAAGAAAAAAGTTATTTTACTTTTTGGGACTTTCTAGCGCTGTACTGCAGACCCTTTGTGAATTTTATGTGGACAAGAGTCTGAATGTCACATTTTTACGACAGTGACTACAGCAGAGTGCACCACTGTACTGTGCATTAGCATATCTGCTTGTAACTCAACCAAAGAGTGAAAAAAAAAGAAAGGATAGGAATTTTTGACATTAGAGGGACATGTGCAACAATATATTTGGCTTAAAGTGTTACTAAACCCAGGAACCTGCATTTACTATATCTGGAAGTGCAAATATTTTAGTAAATGTAAACTGCTAAATACCTTTTCTCATCAGCAGTTAGAACAGTCTTGTGACTTCTATCAGTGTCCAGCCGAGCACTGGTTAATGCTTGTAAGAAGAGTTTTTATTTTGCTCTAGGAGGATGCAGAAACCCTGACCTCTGTCTTGACAGTGCTGATTGGCCCTGTGCTGATCACATCCACTCTTCCAAGAAAAAAAAACAAAACATTTCTAGAGTCACACACCAAACTGAGCATGTGCAGAGTGACTCCACAAAATATGTCTTCTCAGGCGATAAAAGGGGGGGCACTGGAAGAAGGGGAGGATCAGAGAAGTCAGAATCAAACTGCATTTTTACACAATAGAGAAGATTAACCCCTTAGGTTCCGCAGTGAGTATAAAAAGCTTGCTTTACTGCATATATGGACTGATTTTACTGTTGTGAGTTTAGGAACACTTTAAGGACCCATGTACATCTTAGCAATGATGTGTTACCAAAGCAGCCAAAATCAGACATGACCCAATTTTAATGGGTTGTTGTGCACTGTTGGGGGGGTGTATTGCCCACTGCTGTATTAGTTCAATGGGATTCCAATGCACACTTTAATGCATGTTACTGAAACAAATATGTGTACCTTTCGTTTCCTTAATTTGTAGTCATTCAGTTCTTCTTCATCTGTGATCTTCTGTTTTGGGGGAGGAGGTAGTAACTCAAGTTCTCTTTCTTTGGCTTCTCTCAGCAGTTGCTCAGCTGTTATCTGCACTTCTGCAGGGGCTTTATTCTTCACCTGCCCAGAGCAAGAAGACATGTTAGACATTCATTTATATATACTGAGGCTTTATTGACTTTACTAGTCTCCCTGATAAAACATATCAATGCAAATAAATCAGACAATTTAAAATGTATGTGTCTCAAAGAGTTCCAGTTGGTTGCAACATGGCTGGGAGGTAAAGCACCTGCATATAGTGGAAACTAGGGTTGCACCGATACCAAGCATTTGCACCAGTACTCGTACTTGTTCCATAAACAGAATGCACACGGCCTGTTCTATAAGTAGAACGCACACGGTTTCAGCTATAGACTGTCCCCGGCCTGTTCTATAGACAGACTGTACCCAGCTTGTTCTACAAATAGACTGTACCCAGCGTGTTCTACAAATAGACTGTACCCAGTGTTTCTACAAATAGACTGTACCCAGCGTGTTCTACAAATAGACTGTACCCAGCGTGTTCTACAAATAGACTGTACCCAGCTTGTTCTACAAATAGACTGTACCCAGCGTGTTCTACAAATAGACTGTACCCAGCGTGTTCTACAAATAGACTTTACCCAGCTTGTTCTATAAATAGACTGTACCAGACTTGTTTTAGAAGAGATCTAACATCTTGTCTGTGACTCTAAACCAAGCCATATGTTATGGTGTCAGAGGGCCCCCCCCCATCACCCCAAGTGTCCTATACTGTCACACACATTGGTTAGCAATCTTCTACTCTTCAATACAAAACAGAACCCTTAGAAAAGTGGAATATGTAGCCATCAGACAGCGGGAAGATCTCTGTTATCAGAGAGAGGTATCCCGGGGGTTGGGGTGAGAAGACGGCACTGTCCCTGGACACATGTGTGGTCTACTGTCTCCATCGCTGAGCTCAGAGCTACTGTGACAGGGCATGCAAGGGGGTTTGACTTGTCTGTGAGTGTCGTAGCAACATCCTAGCAATAAGGCAGGACAAGATGATGACATTCATAAATTAATTGCACGCGGCCCGTTCCATAAACAGAACGCATGCAGCCCGTTCCATAACCAGAACGCACAGGGCTTCAGCTATAAATAGACTGTAACTGGCGTGTTCTCTAAGTACATTGTACCTGGCTTGTTCTATAGATAGACCGTACCCGGCGTGTTCTGTAAATAGACTGTACCCGGCGTGTTCTATAAATAGACTGTACCCGGCTTGCTCTATAAATACACTGTACCCGGCTTGCTCTATAAATACACTGTACCCGGCTTGCTCTATAAATACACTGTACCCGGCTTGTTCTATAAATACACTGTACCCGGCTTGTTCTATAAATACACTGTACCCGGCTTGTTCTATAAATACACTGTACCCAGCTTGTTCTATAGACCGTACCCAGCTTGTTCTGTAAATACACTGTACCCGGCTTGTTCTATAAATACATTGTACCCGGCTTGTTCTATAAATACATTGTACCCGGCTTGTTCTATAGACTGTACCCAGCTTGTTCTGTAAATACACTGTACCCGGCTTGTTCTATAGACCGTACCCAGCTTGTTCTGTAAATACACTGTACCCGGCTTGTTCTATAAATACACTGTACCCGGCTTGTTCTATAAATACACTGTACCCAGCTTGTTCTATAGACCGTACCCAGCTTGTTCTGTAAATACACTGTACCCGGCTTGTTCTATAAATACATTGTACCCGGCTTGTTCTATAAATACATTGTACCCGGCTTGTTCTATTCTATAAATACATTGTACCCGGCTTGTTCTATAAATACATTGTACCCGGCTTGTTCTATAGACTGTACCCAGCTTGTTCTATAGACTGTACCCAGCTTGTTCTATAGACTGTACCCAGCTTGTTCTATAGACTGTACCCAGCTTGTTCTATAGACTGTACCCAGCTTGTTCTATAAATGCACTGTACCGGGCTTGTTCTATAAATAGACTATACCCAGCTTGTTCTACAGATAAACTATACCTGGCTTGTTCTATAAATAGACTGTACCCGGCTTGTTCTATAAATAGACTGTACCGGGCTTGTTCTATAAATAGACTGTACCGGGCTTGTTCTATAAATAGACTGTACCGGGCTTGTTCTATAAATAGACTGTACCGGGCTTGTTCTATAAATAGACTGTACCCCACTTGTTTTAGAAGAGGTCTAACACTTGTCTGCCGCCCCCCATCACCCCAAGTGTCCTGTCCGGCCACACACTTTGGTTGGTAATCTTCTACTCTTCAATACAGAACAGAGCCCTTAGAAAAGTGGAATATGCAGCCGGCAGACTGCGGGAAGATCTCGGTGTTGTCAGTGTTGGAGCACGGAGAGGTCTCCCGGGGGTCTGGGGTGAGAAGCCGGCACCGTCCCCGCACACAGCTCCCTCGGACTCACCTTGGCCACTTTCGGGATCCGCTGCTTCCCCGCCGCCGTGGACGCCATGACTCCTCCGCTCCTCACACTCCCCGGACCAACAGACAGGAACCACACCGGGAGAACGTTCCACCACACGTCTTAGTCAACGTGCTGACGTCAGGGCGTGCATTTACCAGACACTCTAATCCCAACAATTTTACCCACCATGTCTGCAGTGCTCCAGCCATGAAAGAGAAGTCATGGTCTAGGATTGTGTGGAACATGGTGAAAAAAATAGAAAGACTGCTATCCATCGTCGTATTTTTATTTTGGGCTTCTTCTACTTGTTCGCAAGTTTTAGTATTTACAAATCTCAAACAATAATGAAATCAGCCGAAGAGCATGGAAGGCGGGCGGCCATATTTCTGTAGATCAAAATGAAGACACGAAGCGATAGAAAAGCCTGCTCTCTCTTCGTGTGGGTTGGAGATGCATTACGTCAGATTCTGTTCCTATAGTAACCAGAGCGTCCTGTCCATCGGTCCTGGAGCTGGGTTCTTCGGTTGTCTGCAGTTCGGGAGAAGAAGAGTGTCCAGGTAAGATTCCACAGGATGGAGGGGTTCTGGCTTCGATGGTCCGAGTTCTAGAACATTCCCAGGTTGTGTTCCTAGGAATCCCTGTGCCTAGAATTGTCCCTCTCATCTCTCACCTGCACTATACAGGCTCATACACATGGCTGCAGTTTTTTTCTTTTAGTGGGAAACTGAACCAACAATTTAATGGTTTCCCATAACCGCTACATTCAAGCCATTCCGTGAAGGATAACTGTCACAGTTGCTCGTGCTCCAAGCCGAACTGTCAGGTTGGTGTCATAACTGATCACATGTGCAGCACCATGGTAACTGCAGATCAAGCAGAGGCTAAGATGGCCTGTAAAGGGTAAGGGGGGTTTAGTTCCACTTTAAATTATATTTTTTTACGGATCTGAACGCAGTTCTGTTGTTTTCTATTGGCCCATGTGCACAGTGCATAGAGATCAGTACACTTGTTCAGATCCATAAAATCAAAATAGAAAAATCTTCCTCGGAGGTCATTACTTTACAATTCAATGAGTATAATCCTGTGTAGATATATGTCCATGCATCTACGTATATGCACCCACATATGTTGGCTTTGGAAGTAGAACTGTATGCGTCTGAATGCCGTACAGACACTTTACACCGGAAACACAAGCACTTTACAGAGCATTGTATGCGGTTTTCATGCAGGATCTGCTTACCAGCTACACCCTGAGAAGATGATCGTAACTCATTACAGTCCTATGTGTCTACTTTAAAATGGGTGGGTTGTTAATTTTTTATATTTTTTTTAAAGTGTATGTTACCTCCCCCCCCAAAAAAAAAAAAAAAATAATGTGAATATGTGTGTGTGTACAGACAATTAAAAAAAAACTAGCCTCTAAAGATTTTATTTATTCTATAAAAAGCCTGGTGATCCTGCCACTTCTACTGGGTTCCTGTTTCCTACTGACCCCGAACATCACTGAAGCAGATCTATGTTAGCGTGGTCAGTCTGCATTCCTGGGATCACTGCTGGGACATGCAGTACGCCATACAAGATGACATGTCTGCATCCCCCATGGTCAGTTGTGTGGCCACACCCCCTCTCTGCTTTTGTTGTTTTAGTAAGGGGGCGGGCTTATTTACACTAACGCACAAACACACACTCACACAGTGAGGAAGCTCACCTTTTTTGACTTACATCACACACAGTGGGCGGGCAGTGGGTGGGATTATGTTACACAGTAGGCTGTCAGGTGTGCCGCTGAGAGCTGCTGTCAAACTGCAGCTGGTTCTGGAACTCAGTACACACAGGTGGGGGGGTCTCTTCTCTTCTGTGTGTGTGTGTGCGATGTTAGCCTGTCTGCCCAATGTCTCTTGTAATCCCACCCACCCCATGCCCTCTGTAAGCCACAGATGGGGAACTTTTCACTGTGTGTGTGTGTAATTAGGCCCAGCAGACTAGGTTGTCCAGACAAAGTAGCAATCCAAAACTGAGCTTGTAATATTTCCTCCCCCCCCCCCCAATCCCCCACTCACGACTTTATCATTAAGATCAACAGCACAACCATTGGTCCTTCCCCTCATGCCAGGGTGTTAGGCGTAATCCTAGACTCTGACTTCTCCTTTGGGACCCACATCCAATGACTGGCTAAATCCTGCCACCTCAACCTCCGGAACATTTCCAAAATCCGCCCCTTCCTGACCAATGACACCACAAAACAACTTATCCACAATTGGTTATATCCCTCCTTGATTACTGCAACTCCCTCTTCACTGGTCTACCCTTACACAGGTTATCCCCCCTTCAGTCTATTATGAATGTTGCTGCTAGACTCATACACCTTACAAACCAATCAGTGCCTGCTGCTCCTCTCTGCCAATCCCTTCACTGACTTCCACTAACATATAACATAAAATTCAAAATACTAACCACAGCTTACAAAGCCATTCACAACACTGCTCCTAGCTACATCACCAACCTCATCCGCAGATATCGCCCAAATCGCCCCGCTCTGCTCTTCCAAATACATCTACCTCTCTAGCCCCCCTCACCACCTCCTCCCAACGCTCGCCTCCAGGACTTCTCTAGAGCCTCTCCCATCCTCTGGAATCCCTACCACAGTATGTCCGGTCAGCCCCCACCCTGTCTGCCTTAGGTGATCTTTGAAAACTCATTTATTCAGGGAAGTCTACCCCTCCTCCACCTAAGAACTTGAATCACCTCCATCAGATCATCCCCCGCAGCTATCACCTTTTGTATCACCTCCCCCTTCTTTTAGATTGTAAGCTCCACGAGCAGGGCCGTCCTATTCCTTCTGTACTGAAATGTATTGTAATTGTACTGTCTCCCTTATATTGTAAAGTGCTGAGCAAACTGTTGGCGCTATATAAATCCTGTATAATAATAATAATAATAATAATAGAGAGAGTTAAGACAAACCATTTATCACTGACAGGGGCGCTGAGGATTAGAACCTCTAAACTAAACAAAAAAAAAGAAAACAAATGCAGCCACCACATCTAAGAATTAGTAAACTGCAATATAACACATTTCTGTTTTCGGGTTTAACCACTTCAATACCCGGCACTTTCACCCCCTTCCTGCCCAGGCCAATTTTCATCTTTCAGTGCTGTCACACTTTGAAAGACAATTGCTCAGCCATGTAGAACAAACTATTTTTCCTCCGTTCCATGGGATTTCAGGGCATTTGTATCATAACAAGTCAAAAAAATCCGTTTTGCTAAAAGATCATCATATTTATTAACATATAAAAATTTATTTTTGAAAGATAACACATATACAGCTTGCAAATGAATGTATCTCAACCCCTATAGTGCCATCGCTGTCAACGTATGATTGTATAGTTCATTGTGCGGTCATGCAACACTGAACCCATGTAAAATTTTTATCATTTTTTTCACAAAATAGAACTTTCTTCTGGTGGTACTTAATCACCACTGGGTTTTTATTTTTTGCTAAATAAAGGGTAAAAAAAAGTTTTTTTTTTTGTAATGCGTTTTTCTTCAATTCTTTTTTTTTTACCGATTTTTTGAAATTTTTTTTATTTTTTACAAAACTGTGGACAGAGCAATATGATTTTACCAGAGTAACACTGTACTACTCTAGGGAAGTGATCAGGATTTTTTTTTTTTTTTTACACAGTATGATTGCTTATACCAGTGAATTGCTTAATCAGTGAAGATCGCACCTTAGTGCGACCTGTGGGACGACGGAAAGTGGGAGAGCCCATAGGACAAAATTCCAAAAAGACCAAAGTCCCATCTGGCCGTCATTTTTACCAGGTGGGAATTGGTTAATACCACTTTAGGTGCTTAAAGAGGAACTACACTGCATCTGAGCAGCACATAGCAAAAACCACATTTTATTCATTTGCAATGTTCAAAGTCACCCATCCATCCATGTCTCCATGCTTTTTTTTTTCCTGAGAAATCTCTTTGAAAAACACCCCTAGCATTTCTGACCATGGCCATCTTGAGTAAAGGCAGATGATTAATGTAGTATTTACTTCCTGGAATCCATCTGCCCTTAGCTCAGGCATGCAAACAGGGGGGATTGCCTAACTGAGAAAACCCCTCAGCAGGGGCCTCGGCGGGGTGACGTCAGGACGCAGGCACACCCCCTATGACTATGTGCTCGAGCACAAAACACGTAAGGGAGGAGCTGCAGCGCCCTGATGTCACGCCGCCGAGGCTCCTGCTGGTCCAGCGGCCATGTTTATTTCCTGTTTATGGTCAGTTTGTGATTTTCTCTTACTCTTGTTACTTACCTGTGATTGGATTAATAAAATCCTCTGAAGCAGTATCACACTATTCTGGCATCCTTTCTTGGGGCTCTTGATGAGCCTCACCACCCACAGAGCCTATTGCAGGAAGAGGTGAGAGGTGCTACATCCCATTGATGACCCAGAGGGGAGTCCATAGCAGGGTAGAGATGTCCATAAGAGGATCCAACTTTATTTATCAAATGCGTGATGTTATTACGCATCTGCTGAGTGCGTAATTCTATTATTTGTATATCACCTGAAGACACAAAGAGGATCACCTTTATCAGAGGCTTCACGTTTATTTATTTGTTATATGGACTTTGTCACCTTATTTGCACTATTTTTTTCACTTTGATGGATGAACTTTGACACTGTCACTTTATATATACTTACCTGTGCTGATTGAATTCATCACTTGTATTAGCACTATACTCACCTCATATTATTAAGTTTGTTTTGTCGACTCCAATAATTCAATATTGGTGAATTCATTGCACTTTATTGTATTAAGATTTTACAGTATTTTAGCCCTGCACCTTGTTTTACTATAATGGAGCATTGCCATTATAATTGTGTAGGAATTAGGAGGAATACCTTGTACTAATGCAGTGGGAGATTCCATCTGAGGATTATACTCATGATTGATACATATGAACAATTGAAAATGCTTTAGACCCCCGGTCACACTGGATGCGATTTGCATGCCATGCGACTTTCAAATCACATGCCAAATCACAGC